ACCTTAAGTAATCGTTTTGTCAAAAGCCTTTCAGAAATGAAGGTCCTAAAGTGATGAGATTCAATTAGTTTGGGAACCGCCATGAAAGGACAGATATAACTGTATAGCACTATATGTCCCGCATAAAATACCTAGGACATAAAGAAAAGAGTATGACAGTATATTGTCATGCAAACGCCCTGAGGTTTTTTGTCTATTTGTCTATTTAAATAACAATGCTTGCATGTCTGATCTTCAATATGAGCCCAGGTCAAAGGACCAAACAGACTGTAGCCAAAAGTAAAAACATTCTGCTCTTTTTTCAACTTTTATGAAACATTTTTATTACTTTTATGACCATCAAAAGTTGACAATGTCATGCAATCAAACACATATAATCATGCCTGTGTCTCCAAAAAGATAAAAATCCAATATTTTGAGAATAGCAAGCTATAACAAAATTTATTTCCAACTTTTCACACATCTGACCTAATGAATGGACGACCAAGTCATTCACTGATACAACGTGTTTATAAATATTGCAATCCCGGTAAAATACTAACCACAATCTACTGTTCATTTGGGAGAACGTCTGCTTAGCTCAATCACTTGAGCATCTGATAAGCAAGCTGGAGGTTCCGAGTTCAAATTCTCAAGAAGGCAATGAAATAAATCAAATGATCTCTTTTACTTTCAGCAGAATATCATTCTAAATGTTGACATTGTTCACTGAGTGTAGATCCTTGAGAGTCAATGTGTGTATATGTAGATCCTTGAGAGTCACTGTGTGTATGTGTAGATCCTTGAGAATCACTGTGTGTATGTGTAGATCCTTGAGAGTCACTGTGTGTATGTGTAGATCCTGGAGAGTCACTGTGTGTATGTGTAGATCCTTGAGAGTCACTGTGTGTATGTGTAGATCCTTGAGAGTCACTGTGTGTATGTGTAGATCCTTGAGAGTCACTGTGTGTATGTGTAGATCCTTGAGAGTCACTGTGTGTATGTGTAGATCCTTGAGAGTCACTGTGTGTATGTGTAGATCCTTGAGAGTCACTGTGTGTATGTGTAGATCCTTGAGAGTCACTGTGTGTATGTGTAGATAATTGAGAGTCACTGTGTATGTGTAGATAATTGAGAGTCACTGTGTGTATGTGTAGATCCTTGAGAGTCACTGTGTGTATGTGTAGATCCTTGAGAGTCACTGTGTGTATGTGTAGATCCTTGAGAGTCACTGTGTGTATGTGTAGATAATTGAGAGTCACTGTGTATGTGTAGATAATTGAGAGTCACTGTGTGTATGTGTAGATCCTTGAGAGTCACTGTGTGTATGTGTAGATCCTGGAGAGTCACTGTGTGTATGTGTAGATAATTGAGAGTCACTGTGTGTATGTGTAGATCCTTGAGAGTCACTGTGTGTATGTGTAGATAATTGAGAGTCACTGTGTGTATGTGTAGATCCTTGAGAGTCACTGTGTGTATGTGTTGATCCTTGAGAATCACTGTGTGTATGTGTTGATCCTTGAGAGTCACTGTGTGTATGTGTAGATCCTTGAGAGTCACTGTGTGTATGTGTAGATCCTTGAGAGTCACTGTGTGTATGTGTAGATCCTTGAGAGTCACTGTGTGTATGTGTAGATCCTTGAGAATCACTGTGTGTATGTGTAGATCCTTGAGAGTAAATTTTTGACTCCCAAAAATGATTCAAGGGATATGTTTCGTTCATATATGTTTTGACTCTTAAGATTTTACAATTCAGCTCTTGAAATCATCAAGTTTAAAGGTGAACTGAATACTCAAGAATCATGTACCATGGCTTGTTTGTGTTTCTGGTTCAGTTCATTTTAAAAAAAATGAGAGTCATGTGAAAATGTTGAACAGCATGAATTTTTTTATTATCTTTAGAGCACTATAGTGTGACCAAAAGTGTCTAAAGCATTGTGAATAACCAGTAAGTAAACAGTAGCTGTTTGTATTCCTCACAAATCAATCCCTAATCTACAAAATCACCAATCAGTTATTTAGCAGGAAAAATAGAAATCTTGATGTTACCGAATCACCAGTGACAGAAACATTCTACAAACCCTTGTGATGATTCATACATTCATAAAGAAACCTAGAACACATTCCAGTAAGAAATATTGGGAAGAGTTTTACTGTTATGGCCCGTTTTGAAACCCTAAACACCCTAAGGCCGGTCATATACACTAAAGACTGTTTGCTGATTCTATTTTGTGTCATATTTGTCACTCTGATTCGGCTGTCTGGCATTCACAGTCAATTTTCTAATCCTTCTGTTGTCTCAAGTCCCATATGTGTATTATACCATGTAAACCAGTAAGTCCTGGCCACTCATTGTGGTCACTTTGGTCGTAGACAGAATGACCTTGATTAACAGCGCATTTAGGACCTATCTGGACATTTCTGACCAATTCCAAAGTAAGCCCAGAAATCCCAGGACTGAGGACAAACTGACCTCATCAACAACCCAGTAAATTCATGCTAACTCTCATTTATGTATATCATTTGAATAAATAGATATTAGTCATACATGTGATGTCAGCCCCATTATAGTTAAATATGATAAAGTTTTGATAGGTTGAAATGATTGTGCAAATTGACAGTGAACACAACATTAACACCATAACACACATGTGATGTCAGCCCTATTATAGTTAAATATGATAAAGTTTTGATAGGTTGAAATGATTGTGCAAATTGACAGTGAACACAACATTAACACCATAACACACATGTGATGTCAGCCCTATTATAGTTAAATATGATAAAGTTTTGATAGGTTGAAATGATTGAACAAATTGACAGCGAACACAACATTGACACCATAACATACATGTGATGTTAATAGAGATAGCTTAAGGAAGATGAAATAGCAAATTGAAAAAAAACAGTGCAAGCCTTATGTGATGTTCATATGAAGAGAAATCTTAAGGACTACAGGGAAACATTGAAGTCTTTACATAAAATTACCAACCAAAGCCTGATTAATATGTTAAAGAATGTAATCCCAAAGAGGATGTGAACTTGACTGATAATAAATTTGTCGTTCTAAATATCAAGAGGCCCAATGGCCTGTATATTCAAATGCTCTCCAGCTTATACTAATGAATGATTGAATACAGTTTTGTGTGGATTCCAACATATTGCCCGTTTTTGACGGTAAAACACTGTATATAGCAGATAAAATAATATATAGTCAGTTTCTCTAGGTTATTAAGGAAAGATTGTAACATATTCAATACCTTCAAAAAAGCTCATTCATCACAACAAATTTAGAAGCCCTTCATCCCAGCATGTCAGAAGTATATTGTATCATGACCCTAAGCATCTTGGTTATTGAGAAAGTTTGAACACCTTTGACCCTGTGACCTTGAAAGAATATCAAGGTCGTTCATTCACCTGGTCACCAATGCAAGTTTTTATTCTATCTAGCAGAAAAATGTTCCCTTATGACAGGTTTTAATCAAATGACAATTACTTTATCAAGACAGGCCCTCTTCAGGATGATCTCTCTGAAGACCTACATTTCCGGTAGGAAAACTAATGGTCTCATTGATACTAACAGCCTATTTCCAGTCAGCCAAGGTCAGATATTGCCTGAAGCACAGTAAACACTTTACGCCAGCATGAATGGAGTATAGTAAATGTAATTTCATTGATAAATCATTTCTTATCCTTATGAATGGAATTATAATATCTGACCATCACAGGGGGCCATGAAGAGGAAGCATGACTAATCTATCACAGTAATAGTCAACAGTGATCACCCTTATCCTGCTGTGTGTGATCGTTAAATATCAGTACTGCCCTTACAATGTCATCATCACTTCTGAATACCATGAAAAAAGAGGTTTCATTAGGATTTCATTTTTATTGATTTTATGGAAACAGATAATCATGAACTGAGATATACTCGAATCAAAAGATGTGACAAAGTTTTGTGAGCACAATTATCAATGAAATCATATGCCCACAAAAAAAAAACAGCAATTTTTCAGAAACTATAAAATTGGTGAGCCGGAACTTCATGTCTTATTTCAAGGTAAGAACTACAGAGAGTCAAATTTTCAAATGACCACAGTATTTCTTCAAGCTTCAACAAATCTGTTAACGTTGATAAAAATCTTACTATATGCTGGCACCTGAAGGTCATCTGGCTGACAGCTCAATTTTTTACTCATGAACAAATTTCAAGTCCCTGAATCAGGATTACAGTCCTCCAGTCAGGACTCCTTACAGTCCTTCAGTCAGGACACCTTACAGTCCTCCAGTCAGGACTCCTTACAGTCCTCCAGTCAACATGAGTCAGGACTCCTTACAGTATTTCCTTCAAGTCCTTCAGGACAAATCCTTCAGTCAGGACACCTTACAGTCCTCCAGAGGACTACAAAGTCAGGACACCTCTTACTTACAGTCCTCCAGTCAGGACTCCTCACAGTCCTTCAGTCAGGACACATTACAGTCCTTCAGTCAGGACACCTGACAGTCCTCCAGTCAGGACTCACAGTCCTCCAGTCAGGACTTTACAGTCCTTCAGTCAGGAACAAATTTACAGTCCTTCAGTCAGGACACCTTACAGTCCTCCAGTCAGGACACCTTACAGTCCTCCAGTCAGGACGCCTTACAGTCCTCCAGTCAGGACTCCTTACAGTCCTTCACTCAGGATTACATAGTCCTCCAGTCAGGACACCTTACAGTCCTCCAGTCAGGACTCCTTACAGTCCTTCAGTCAGGACTCCTTACAGTCCTCCAGTCAGGACTCCTTACAGTCCTCCAGTCAGGATTACATAGTCCTTCAGTCAGGACACCTTACAGTCCTCCAGTCAGGACTCCTTACAGTCCTTCAGTCAGGACTCCTTACAGTCCTCCAGTCAGGACTCCTTACAGTCCTTCAGTCAGGACTCCTTACAGTCCTCCAGTCAGGACTCCTTACAGTCCTCCAGTCAGGACACCTCAGGACACATAACAGTACTCCAGTCAGGACTCCTTACAGTCCTCCAGTCATGACTCCCCACAGTCCTCCAGTCAGGACTCCTTACAGTCCTTCAGTCAGGACTCCTTACAGTCCTCCAGTCAGGACTCCTTCCTTCAGTCAGGACAGTCCTTCAGTCAGGTCCTCCAGTCAGGACTTACAGTCCTTCAGTCAGGACACAGTCCTCCAGTCAGGACACCTTACAGTCCTTCAGTCCTTACAGTCCTTCAGTCAGGATTACATAGTCCTTCAGTCAGGACTCCTTACAGTCCTCCAGTCAGGACACCTTACAGTCCTCCAGTCAGGACACCTTACAGTCCTTCAGTCAGGATTACATAGTCCTTCAGTCAGGACTCCTTACAGTCCTCCAGTCAGGACTCCTTACAGTCCTTCAGTCAGGACACCTTACAGTCCTCCAGTCAGGACACCTTACAGTCCTCCAGTCAGGACACCTTACAGTCCTCCAGTCAGGACTCCTTACAGTCCTCCAGTCAGGACTCCTTACAGTCCTTCAGTTAGGACTCCTTACAGTCCTCCAGTCAGGACACCTCACAGTCCTCCAGTCAGGACACCTTACAGTCCTCCAGTCAGGACTCCTTACAGACCTTCAGTCAGGACACCTCACAGTCTTTCAGTCAGGACTCCTTACAGTCCTCCAGTCAGGACACCTTACAGTCCTCCAGTCAGGACTCCTTACAGTCCTTCAGTCAGGACACCTTACCCTTCAGTCAGGACTCCTTACACAGGACACCTTACAGTCTCCTTCAGTCCTCCTTACAGTCCTTACAGTCCTCCAGTCAGGACTCCTTACAGTCCTCCAGTCAGGACTCCTCACAGTCCTCCAGTCAGGACTCCTCACAGTCCTTCAGTCAGGACTCCTTACAGTCCTTCAGTCAGGACACCTTACAGTTCTTCAGTCAGGACTCCTCACAGTCCTCCAGTCAGGACTCCTCACAGTCCTTCAGTCAGGACTCCTTACAGTCTTCCAGTCAGGACTCCTTACAGTCTTCCAGTCAGGACTCCTTACAGTCCTTCAGTCAGGACACCTTACAGTCCTCCAGTACAGTCCTTCAGTCAGGACTCCTCCAGTCAGGACTCCTTACAGTCCTCCAGTCAGGACTCCTTACAGTCCTCCAGTCAGGACTCCTTACAGTCCTTCAGTCAGGACTCCTTACAGTCCTTCAGTCAGGACTCCTTACAGTCCTCCAGTCAGGACTCCTTACAGTCCTTCAGTCAGGACACCTTACAGTCCTCCTTACAGTCCTCCAGTCAGGACTCCCCACAGTCCTCCAGTCAGGACTCCTTACAGTCCTTCAGTCAGGACTCCTTACAGTCCTCCAGTCAGGACTCCTTACAGTCCTTCAGTCAGGACACCTTACAGTCCTCCTTAGAGTCCTTCAGTCAGGACTCCTTACAGTCCTCCAGTCAGGACTCCTTACAGTCCTCCAGTCAGGACTCCTCACAGTCCTTCAGTCAGGACTCCTTACAGTCCTCCAGTCAGGACTCCTTACAGTCCTCCAGTCAGGACTCCTTACAGTCCTCCAGTCAGGACTCCTTACAGTCCTTCAGTCAGGACTCCTTACAGTCTTCCAGTCAGGACTCCTTACAGTCTTCCAGTCAGGACTCCTTACAGTCCTCCAGTCAGGACTCCTTACAGTCTTCCAGTCAGGACTCCTTACAGTCCTTCAGTCAGGACACCTTACAGTCCTCCAGTCAGGACTCCTTACAGTCCTCCAGTCAGGACTCCTTACAGTCTTTCAGTCAGGACTCCTTACAGTCTTCCAGTCAGGACTCCTTACAGTCCTTCAGTCAGGACTCCTTACAGTCCTCCAGTCAGGACTCCTTACAGTCCTCCAGTCAGGACTCCTCACAGTCCTCCAGTCAGGACTCCTTACAGTCCTCCAGTCAGGACTCCTCACAGTCTTCCAGTCAGGACTCCTCACAGTCCTCCAGTCAGGACACCTCACAGTCCTCCAGTCAGGACTCCTTACAGTCCTCCAGTCAGGACTCCTTACAGTCCTCCAGTCAGGACTCCTCACAGTCCTTCAGTCAGGACTCCTTACAGTCCTCCAGTCAGGACTCCTTACAGTCCTTCAGTCAGGACACCTTACAGTCCTCCAGTCAGGACACCTTACAGTCCTCCAGTCAGGACTCCTTACAGTCCTTCAGTCAGGACACCTTACAGTCCTCCAGTCAGGACTCCTTACAGTCCTCCAGTCAGGACACCTTACAGTCCTCCAGTCAGGACTCCTTACAGTCCTCCAGTCAGGACTCCTTACAGTCCTCCAGTCAGGACACCTTACAGTCCTTCAGTCAGGACATTTGTTTGTGTTATCTGCTTTCTCATCTTTTAAATCCAAAATGAAATGCTAACAAATGGTATTTCAGAATCCCACAACAAGGTCAACACAGTTTATTGTCGAGTATCTCTCCACCAAACAGTTCTGGTTTATACTAACTTGTACTAAACACTGCTGAGTATTCCCACGTAATTCAATGTAGCAGATGACATTACTGATGAATTGTGATGTCAGTGAACCTATCAGGATAATGACCAATCAGTGATGACGTAACATCATGTGTAGGCAGAGCAGTTCCAAGCTGGTAACTTCATTGACTTAATGCCTGCAGGCTATACAGGAAGCCAGAGTTAAGTTACAATTCAAATTAAATGAAAATTGACTCAGTACAATATTTTTCAAATTTAGTGCATAACAAATATGTTATATTCAAAATTAGCATGAAATGAAATTCAAGACTTCTCTCTTTATTGTTAACGTATTTCAACCTAATAGTACTTTCATTGAAAAGATAGAGGATCGGCTTTCCAGATCAATAACAGAAATGACCGTCTCACTATGTGGTCTGTCTCGAGCCTATTGTAATGGTCAGAGGTATTATGTGACCATCATTAGCTTAACAACTCAGTAATGCAGAAGCTGTAAATGAAATCTTCTCCTATAATCAGATTAATTCATTGCTAAAAGCTAAGATTCTGCTAAGTAAGAATAAAACACGATAAGTTAGGCATCAGCTGGAACCGAACATAGGATTTTACACCACAGAGAGTAAATTACTGCATGTATATAATGTATTTCTTATCTATAGAAATTAATTGTCTTCTATTTAATAAACTATCAGTTAAGCCTATATCAGTCAGTTTTTAAAAAGTTTAATTTTTTTTTTTTTTTTTAATGTGTTGTGAAAAAATTGTACACACATCCATTTGATCACAGACATTTGGGTGGTCTGGTGGCGCAATGGTATTACACACTCGCCTTTCACCTCGCTGTCGGGGGTTTGTTGCCCAGAATTGACGTGGAAAGGCACAGGGTCACCTGCCCGACCAGGTGGGTTTTCCCCGCGTACTCCAGTTTCCTCCCACAGTAAGACCCCTCACACACTTCCATCTGGGACAACAAGAGTGATTGATAAAAGTTGGAAAAAAACTTGTTCCACAATTGTTGTAAAATGAATGAAGTATATGATTATGATCACAGATTGTGTGGAAGAACAGGAGAATCCCTGACTAAATATGCTGAATTCATCTTTATACTTCCTTCATCCTTAAAGACCAAAGCAAACTCAACGGCTTTATGATGACCTGAGTCTTCACTGACCAGGGATGTAACAACTTTAAGGTCATACTGTATAGTTTCTAATAACAATACCTGACAATGTGATGTTACTAAAACTACCTACATTGTAGATCTAACACAACCAAAATTTAAGAACATAAGTCTTATTTCGTCATGAATATAATAACACTTACCACCTTGGAGGCCACATTAAAAAGGAAACTTTCTATGATTTTCATGACAGTATTAGTTTTAAAATTCTATTCCGACGTTTTAATCATTAATGAAATCTACGTTATAGAAAAATACCCTTTCTAAATTCTTTCTTTTAATTTTTTCCATGTGAATCACATAACATTATATGGAATCTGTAAATATCATACACATATTTCCAGTCACCATCATCATGGAGCCTCCACAACAACAGACAATGCACTTTCAAAGCAAACCAAACGTATTTGAATCATAAGACACAGCCAACAGCACAATGCTCTATAGTCTTTCAGAATTCCATTGAAGACTATTACACTGATATAAAATGGACATGAGCAAGTCTACCTTGAGTCGATTTGGCTATGGTTACAGCTGTGTATGTTTTAGTACCATGCAAAGGCTATCTGTCAGGAGCCACGCGATACGAAAAGCTACCGGATGTCTGTCTGAACAGGCCTATACAAAAGTGCACATCTGACAATATTGTGTGACAATAAAGGCATTATCAATCGGAACTCTCCTCTCTATTGTGGAGGTGAGAAATGAAGCAAGATTTGTGTGTTTTGTTTATAGTAAGGTATAAATGAAACAGCTAAGTCTTGGAATTCTCACAGTACTTGTGAACAATAACAATGAATATGTGCAGCATCCTTTACTTCTTGTCAAAGTTTACATCACTGTGTATTATGTACTACAACTGGAGTCAGGCAGTGCCAAAGAAGAGCAAAACATACATGCACAACATTCTTGGTTGAAAGAAAATAAAACACCAATATCTTTTTATTAACTGGTTAGTGCTTCAAGAAATAAAGAAAGACCCTCCCATTATTCTGACATTTTGTGTGATTGTGTATGTAGAAATTGTGATATCATGATATTGGTTGACATTATACCCCAGGTACTTTTGAATTATGCCGATTTCATTTGTGTAAAATCTTCTCTGTGGGTAGTAAAAATTGAAAGTAAGACTGACGAATTCAGGAAAGTGAAATTGTTGTTGTTGTAGTTTTGGCTCATATTAGCTACAGGTAAAGTGCAAAGCATCTATACTCCATGCCTTTCATTTCCAGATACTCCATGCCTTTCATTTCCAGATTCTCCATGCCTTTCATTTCCAGATTCTCCATGCCTTTCATTTCCAGATGCTACATGCCTTTCATTTCCAGATACCCCATGTCTTTCATTTCCAGATACATCATGCCTTTCATTTCTGGATACTCCATGCCTTTCATTTCCAGATTCTCCATGCCTTTCATTTCCAGATACCCCATGCCTTTCATTTCCAGATACATCATGCCTTTCATTTCTGGATACTCCATGCCTTTCATTTCCAGATTCTCCATGCCTTTCATTTCCAGATACTCCATGCCTTTCATTTCTGGATACTCCATGCCTTTCATTTCCGGATACTCCATGCCTTTCATTTCCGGATACTCCATGCCTTTCATTTCCGGATACTCCATGCCTTTCATTTCCAGATACTCCATGCCTTTCATTTCCGGATACTCCATGCCTTTCATTTCCAGATACTCCATGCCTTTCATTTCTGGATACTCCATGCCTTTCATTTCTGGATACTCCATGCCTTTCATTTCCAGATACTCCATGCCTTTCATTTCTGGATACTCCATGCCTTTCATTTCTGGATACTCCATGCCTTTCATTTCCAGATACTCCATGCCTTTCATTTCCAGATACCCCATGCCTTTCATTTCTGGATACTCCATGCCTTTCATTTCTGGATACTCCATGCCTTTCATTTCCAGATACCCCATGCCTTTCATTTCTGGATACTCCATGCCTTTCATTTCTTATCCCTTTCATTTCTGGATACTCCATGCCTTTCATTTCCAGATACTCCATGCCTTTCATTTCCAGATACTCCATGCCTTTCATTTCCGGATACTCCATGCCTTTCATTTCCGGATACTCCATGCCTTTCATTTCCAGATACTCCATGCCTTTCATTTCTGGATACTCCATGCCTTTCATTTCCAGATACTCCATGCCTTTCATTTCCAGATACTCCATGCCTTTCATTTCTGGATACTCCATGCCTTTCATTTCCAGATACTCCATGCCTTTCATTTCCAGATACTCCATGCCTTTCATTTCCAGATACTCCATGCCTTTCATTTCTGGATACTCCATGCCTTTCATTTCCAGATACTCCATGCCTTTCATTTCCAGATACTCCATGCCTTTCATTTCCAGATACTCCATGCCTTTCATTTCTGGATACTCCATGCCTTTCATTTCCAGATACTCCATGCCTTTCATTTCCAGATACTCCATGCCTTTCATTTCTGGATACTCCATGCCTTTCATTTCCAGATACTCCATGCCTTTCATTTCTGGATACTCCATGCCTTTCATTTCTGGATACTCCATGCCTTTCATTTCCAGATACTCCATGCCTTTCATTTCCAGATACTCCATGCCTTTCATTTCTGGATACTCCATGCCTTTCATTTCCAGATACTCCATGCCTTTCATTTCCAGATACTCCATGCCTTTCATTTCCAGATACTCCATGCCTTTCATTTCTGGATACTCCATGCCTTTCATTTCCAGATACTCCATGCCTTTCATTTCCAGATACTCCATGCCTTTCATTTCTGGATACTCCATGCCTTTCATTTCCAGATACTCCATGCCTTTCATTTCTGGATACTCCATGCCTTTCATTTCTGGATACTCCATGCCTTTCATTTCTGGATACTCCATGCCTTTCATTTCCAGATACTCCATGCCTTTCATTTCCAGATACTCCATGCCTTTCATTTCCAGATACTCCATGCCTTTCATTTCCAGATACTCCATGCCTTTCATTTCCAGATACTCCATGCCTTTCATTTCTGGATACTCCATGCCTTTCATTTCCAGATACTCCATGCCTTTCATTTCCAGATACTCCATGCCTTTCATTTCTGGATACTCCATGCCTTTCATTTCCAGATACTCCATGCCTTTCATTTCTGGATACTCCATGCCTTTCATTTCTGGATACTCCATGCCTTTCATTTCTGGATACTCCATGCCTTTCATTTCCAGATACTCCATGCCTTTCATTTCTGGATACTCCATGCCTTTCATTTCCAGATACTCCATGCCTTTCATTTCTGGATACTCCATGCCTTTCATTTCTGGATACTCCATGCCTTTCATTTCCAGATACTCCATGCCTTTCATTTCCAGATACTCCATGCCTTTCATTTCTGGATACTCCATGCCTTTCATTTCTGGATACTCCATGCCTTTCATTTCTGGATACTCCATGCCTTTCATTTCCAGATACTCCATGCCTTTCATTTCTGGATACTCCATGCCTTTCATTTCCAGATACTCCATGCCTTTCATTTCCAGATACTCCATGCCTTTCATTTCTGGATACTCCATGCCTTTCATTTCCAGATACTCCATGCCTTTCATTTCCAGATACTCCATGCCTTTCATTTCTGGATACTCCATGCCTTTCATTTCCAGATACTCCATGCCTTTCATTTCTGGATACTCCATGCCTTTCATTTCCAGATACTCCATGCCTTTCATTTCTGGATACTCCATGCCTTTC